GCCAATGACTTCCCAAACTGTGCAGGTTCTATGCCTAAATCGTCTTTCAGCAGATATTACAATTTACATCGCGTTATCACACATCCGCATGTCGTTTCTCTCGAAATGTATTCTCCTATCTAGATACCCTCGCTCAGTTCTCACATTGTTGCGTAGGAATAAACACAAGCCATCTGTGGCTAACCTCAGACGCGTAGCATCCGCTCACCTGGAGATGGGCGAGTCAAAACTTGTGAGTTTACTGGAAATTCATACACGCTTACTGTCAGTGACTGAAGATCTATCTTTGTGTTGTCGGATTGTGTTTGCTAACTTATGTAAATCCACACACGACTGTACAAGGAGAAATCGGAATACTCAGTTGGAGAATTCACCAACGAACAGCCAGGAGGAGAAGCCAGTCATCCGTGATCCTAGTAAGTAGGTGGTGAATTTGTCAGACGTACAACTCGATCCGTTGCAGTCAGAAGCATTGCCACATAGGTTTGAATACAAAGTTTTCCCTAGAAACCTGAACGGGTTGTTTATAAAAGCCCAGTTTAAGAAATTTTTTGATCAATTTAAGGAACCTCAACCATCCGGTCCTGATGCCGTTGTTCGGTTTAGTACTAGATTGTCCGATATGGCCCACGAAATTAAGACTGTGCCAGTGAGTTAAAAATGTGCACTTACAAGCCGACACCTTCAGGTGCTACGCGAACTATGTACTAAGAACGTAGTGGTAATGAAACCGAGTAAGGGCTCTGGAGTGGTGATCATGAACAAGGCCGAGTACGCTCAGAAGATGAGTGTCATACCTAACGGCACGAGGAAGTTTGAAAGACTTCATAATTTGGGGAACGTAGCCGACGTTGAAGCTCGCATGGCTGCCCACTTTGAAATGCTTCTTCTTCATCTTGTGATTGATGGTGGCATTTATAACCGTTTGAAGCCAATTGGCAGCACTACTCCACAGCTGTATGGGTCACCGAAAACGCACAAGAGCGGAGTGCCACTTAGACCGATTCTATCAATGATAAATGCGTCGCAGCACAAATTAGCTCGATGGCTAGTAAAGATCCTTTCACCGTTACCACAACTGACCAATCCCTACAGTCTTAAGGCTCCCTTTCGACTTATCGATTATTTGGATAACATCAACCTGTCCGATAAGGTAATGTGTTCATTGGATGTGGGATCTCTGTTCACTAACATTCCGCTACACCAGACAGTCGATTACATTTGCGAACTAGCTGAACAATCTGGTTATTCGTTATCAATTCCAGTCGAAAGTATCATTGCGGTTAGCTTTCACTTTCGAAATACGCCATACCGTCAAATCGATGGAATGGCAATGGGTAGCCCATCATCGTCATTATACACGTTAGCTAGAGGTAGAAAACGCCTCGACTACAGTACCTAGTGAGCGGCCCACTAGGCGCTGTACTCGCCGATCTTTTTATGTTAATGATAGAAAAAGGCATATCCACAGAAATAGCCAAGCTGCTATACTTAATAAACGCCATGTGGATGACATACTGGCCTTTTGTTCATCGGAGCAGCAGATCGTGTAGCAGCTTTAAACGCACATGCAAATTTGCGGGTCACCTGTGAGGTGGAACAGAAGAACTGTCTACCATTCTTGGACATCCTTATCAGTCGCAGGGATGACGGACTAATTAAGAGGTCCGTCTACAGAAAAGCTACATCGTCCGGTCAATACCTGCATTTCACCAGTGCGGTACAAACGGACACTTGTGAAAACTTTAGTTAGTCGCGCTAGATAAATTTGCTCGGCGGATTGTCTAGCCGATGAGCTAGTTACTTACAACTACGCTCGTGGCGAATAGTTATCCTCACAGAGTCATAGAGAAACACAATCAACAGCGAGGCCTAAAGGACAGTGCATATGGTAGCTAAAAGGTCTATATCGAGTGACTACCCTGTACTGAAGAATACCAAACGGTTAATTTCTGCCGCACAAAGAAGTTAACATGCTGTTGAAGTTGTGACCATTAACCGAACTCGTAATTTGCCTGTTCGTCCAACGAAGGAAGCTCAGCCGGTCCGGGCCAGTTCACACTGCATATACCAATTCGTGTGTGACTGTGGATCTAGTTACACAGGCAGAACTGATCAGTCTGACTTCCGAATAAAAAAACGCGTGCCGAGGTGGGCTCAAGGTGAAACTGCCCAGCATCCCCGAATCTTCGATCTCGCGCAGGCCGCCAGCTTCCTCAATAGACACTTACTGGTCACGCGTCACCGGATACAGCTCGGATCAGCGTTCACAATCGTGTTACGTCACTTTAATCCACGCTTCCTCCGTTTCGCCGAGGCTGTGGCAATAAGCCGGATGAAGCCAGCCCTGTGTGTTCAAAAACAAGTATTCGTGAGCTTAAGACTGCCATGGACATAGGGGTGGAAGTTCCGTCATTCATTTTGCACCTCAAGCTTGTTTGGTCACACCCATAGTTATTTATACAGTTGCATATCGGTGATTGTTAATCGTACTGACAACACGAAAAGCATGCATCTACCAGCTTTCGCCTTCTTATCATGTTGTTCAAATTGCTAAAGCGAACTAACTGCTTTAAAATTCCACAATATGTGCCAAAACTAACAGGAAACACCAGTTGTCACCCTGCACTCTATCGATATAAATGTATGCTATCTTCCAAACATACATGCGTCGTAACGAAACTTCGATTAGCTAGCTCACATTCTGCCGAGGATGCCGGTATACTTCGCAGTTCTCATCCGTATGACCAAGAATACAGATATCGGCAGACAACAGAAATGATCGGGCCACTTACGAGAGACCGGCACTTCTGGCGTACACACCCACCGGACTGAAAACAATTACAGATCTCAAAGTGTGCGCCAACTGCATATCTTATTTTAACGCCACTGGTCTCCAGCACACGTCCACGTCACATCATCTGACTTCCACGAGGCGAGGCAATAGTTTGTATTTATGCTGACCATGTCAACATCATCTACATATGGTGCATATTAGTAGATGGTTGGTTTATTCGGATTGCTCAGACACACTGGTCATTGCGCGCGCGTATTGCTTGATTTCCAGACCTCCGCAAAGTACCAGCCCAGAGACTCGTCTGTTTAATTCCTGACCTATGAAGTTACATCATTAGACTAAGTCAGATTTATAGATAAAAAATGGGCAGACTTTCCGACGCTTATGAAAAAGGTGCTGGTGACCACTCGCTACGGTAGATTAGTTCATCAGGATGATGGATAGACCAATGATATGTGCGTTATCTTGCTTGAAGTAAGGAAGATGGTTCCATCTAGACGTTAAGTTTCAAGATGTTCGCAAAACATTGAAACAACACCTGATAGTTTCATTTGTGTTATTGAACGTCCAAGCTTATATAAATAAAGTGATGGCCGAGAAAGACGGATAGTTGATCTACTCTCATAATTGCCCAGCTGAACCCCCTGGGGAGCAATTCAATCGGTACCTGACCGGACGATATTGAAAGACAATGACGATTTGTGGTTAGCAAAACTGCTTCATTCAGTTCTATAAAAATTACCTTAGAACCAACGGTTGTCAACCGTCACATCTGTATTAATGACTATGGAACGCGTTGCGAGAGTTGTTACATTGACGCTATCACCACTGCTTCCACATCACTAACAAGCATCATGCTACGATGACACAATGGTCCCTAGGAAACTCGAATTAGTGAAAGCTGGACTAGCTTTCACTTTAGTAGTGGTTACATTGAGCATAAATTTAAGCTCTTGCGCTTAAACAGACGACCTACTATGGTCGTCCTCCAAGACTTTAAACCCGCCTACCTTTCTTAGAAAGGTATATTAAAGAAAGCACTCGCGATACACTAAGTAATGAAGGTTTTTCAGGAAAAAATGAAATGAAATGTGTCAGCTGTACGCCGTAACGGCGCTTCACTGCCGCGCGACCACCAACAGTCGCGCGCGGGCTGAGTATACCGCGAGGACGCCCACCCCTACGCGGAGGTTTTTCAAGAAGCTTGTCTTGAGGGATTCAGGACAAGTGGTGTTCCGTGGTTACCCTATTACCACTTTAGCTGCAAAAAAATAATATGACTCCATCCTTTCAGCTATTTTGTAGTGGATGTTCTGTTAAACGGCCGACTGTCAAACTTAGAATACGCCGGCCACATAGATCGGATGCAGGTGAGACTCTAGCATTGCCAAACAGATAGACGCAAAGCGGTACGTTTCAGCATGAAATCCGCGCCTTCAAAATATGGACTCTAATCACAGGACTGGGAAAACACTTTACAGATTCCCTTAAGTGTTGAATAATCAATTGAAATGTGTGACCAGTTCACTTACCTAAGTGGCTGTAGCATCTCTGATAGTCGGATCCCAGGAGTGGTAAAGCTTGTGTGACTTTTCAAGGCCTTGGTTATATGTGGAGACAGTGTGGTGCTAGCTTATCGGTGAAGAGTGGAGAGCATAACGCAGTAGCGCGGCATGTGCTACGTAGTGGATCATAGGTGTGAACCTACATTTGAAGACACCAAAGAATTGTTGAATTTGGTCTCCGGTGCATGTAAGAATCGTTTATGTCTGCTGGGACCATCGCGTGAATAACGCTAATGTCCGCTGACTGGACTTTAGCAACAAAACCGTTGCATCCTCGGCTCTTCCTTTGCACTTGAGCCGCTTAATTTGGCATGTATATTGCCCTTCCATTGTGGCATGTTGTTTTCAGCTGTCTGGTTGGGTAGACTCCGAGTAGCCTACTGGAGACAGCAAAAAGAACGAGATTGACCTGGACTTAGTCGGATTAATGCATACTGTGTTTCCGGAATAAGTCACAGCGGTGCGATCACTAAGCCAGAGGCGTTCTTGTGCATGGACTTTCTCCCACCTTCTTTTGCTCGTTAACTTTACCTTTCGATGAGTTTGCGGTCAAGTGCGTTTACGTTTTTCTATCGCTCGTTTTTTCCTTTCATTACTCATAATAACGCGTTTTGATGCTTATAAAATAGTCCACCAATTTAGCTAAGCCGAACACAATGTATGGTTTCTTTTTCCATCAAATTCAATCGTCTGTGATTCGAGAACATAAATACAATGGCTCCGGCTATCATGACGCAGTAGTCATAACAACTGATAATAATGAGAGAGAAGTAGTACAGTGGATGATAAAAAGCAGACATCTAGGGAGAAATATAAAGTGAGATAAGGAAAGTCAACTGTTAACTATAAAAGCTGGTCGGACGCAAGAGCGCTGTCGACAATGCAAGTACAAGTGGAAACGATTCTTTATCCGAGACATTTTACGAAGACCTTTGCACGAAACGCGTAAATGGAAGTGTTCAGCAGTGCGCCGAAGGACAATGCCATCACATTCATAGTTTGCAAATCGGAGATTACCGACAGGGGTCGATAATGGACACCAAACAAGTAATGTGATAGAGGTTTATGCGCCGGATTCCATAAACAGCGACGCCAAATTTGTAAGCATACACTCGAAGGACGCTGTTCGTCTAACTGTCATCGAGTAGTAGCAAATCTGATAGCTCAGGCAGCTTGAGACCACGCTCAGAAAAAAGTTGTGCACGTTTCCTCACGTGCTCCTTACGGATCGCGGCTTGTTCCGCTTGTAATGTGTAGATCTCCTCAGCGGAAACGCGCTCCAACTTGTCATCCATATTGAACTCCTCTTTCTGTGCGTGAGAATCAATGGCTTTTGACAATGAGTATATCAAAGTATTTGGCAAGAGAAACAAGTAGCATGCATTTTCAAGAAAGCTCGGTGGTTTTACTTGACTAAATCTCTACCCATTTATCAATCAACCCCATTTTTTATATTACGCGAACTAAACCATTGTCAGAACCTCTGTGTCGACCGAATAATCGTATCAACTCCGACGACAGTACTGCACACCATCTCTCTCATACCTAACAGTCAACTTTCAAAGCGTCAGATACTTGACTTGATTTGAATACCTGAAGATCAGCGAGTGCAGTGACAGCAGCAAGCACTTAAATGTGTAAATTCGAGTGCCTATGTCCGGGGAAAAGTTCTCTGGAAATCTAATGGACCAACAAGCAAAGGCTACCGGAAAGTTCCCGCAGCTGTTTATTACTTATTCATAAAAGCAACGGTTCGTCTTGATGACCACCGCCGAGGTGGCCGATGGAGACAGATACAAAATGGAACAGTCTCAACAACCGATAGGCGATAAGAAGAAATGACTGGTTGGATAACACAGAAGGAATTTCCACTGGTAGGTTCCACTTAGTTTACAGCCTATCCTGCACTTCGAAAAACAATAAGTACCCAACGCCACTAGATCAGAAAATGACCAGGATCGTAGAGTACACACCGCTGATAACAGCCTATTCAGTCCAGTTAAATTGAACAACTATGATGATCTAGGCACCATAGTGCTGTGAATCCAGTTGCAATGAACCATGTCTCCTGAAGAACAATGATTAACGGTAATAAAAGTGTGTAAAACCAAAAAAATAGAATGAGAATTTAAAATGTTTCGGAATACTGATAGCTCGGTTTGATGATTTAATTGTGCATTTGTTCTTCGAGCTTGGCGGTTTGTCGCAAACGTTTCACCACCATGCGAGGTGGCATCCTCAGTGCAGTGAGACGCGGCGTGCAATCTTACTGAATGAATCGTCCATCCGTGATCGACCTGCAGACTTCTCAAAGTGGCAGTGTCGATTTGCGTTCCGTGACCTCTACCTACTTTCCCCAAGACTGAAATCGGCGCCCGAGTTGTTCTACCTTAAACCGCGTGATCAAATGTTCTTTATTTCTTTCTGTCGAAGTGGTTGGTATATTGAATCAATGTCGACGCGCATGTTGATTGAGTTTTTCGTTAAGAACCAAGCTTCCAGGGATTCCCTTTCTTTCCTTGTTTCACCCTGCGCCAGGACTTCTGCTTTGTTCCAATCGAAGCTACGTCCTTCTTCATCTACGTGCAATGAAACTAGCGACGATGCATAATGCTTTACACAGGCTCTTTTATGTTCTTGTATCCTTGTTACCAGTTTCCTTCCCGTCTGGCCAACATAATCCCTTTCGCAATCTCGGCAACGTATTTTGTATACCACATTACGTTGTTCATACGCCTGCAGTTTTTCTTTTGGTTTGAGTTTTCTCAACGTGGTATTTGGTTTGTGTGCTACGATGAGATGATGCTGTTTGAATAGTCTGACTGTCATTTCCGATATGTTCTTCATATAAGGCGGAATAACCCGTCTCTCCGTTGTTGTTGTTTTTGTTGTCGTCGTTGTTGTTGTTGGCTGTAGGTTTACGTTGTTGTGATTCAGACACTTTCGAATGAAGCTTTGTGTGTATCCGTTGAGTTGGGAATATTTAAATAGGTGCTTTTCTTCCTTTTGCTTTGCTTCTGTGGTACTGCAGTGTGTTTGCACTCTGCGAAACAGTGTCCGCACACAGCTTACTTTGTGGCATTTCGGGTGGTTGCTGTTAAAGTTCAGAATTTGGTCTGTGTGTGTGTGTGTCTTTTCTGTAGACCGATGTTTGCAGCTCGCTTTCCATGGTTCTTGTTACTAATACGTCCAAGAAAGGGAGCTGGCTTACCTTCTCCAGTTCCATTGTCAATTGAATGCCTTCCATGGCATTATTTAATAGCCGTTGTGCGACTGTTATTTGGTTGCGTCTGATCATCACAAAAGTGTCGTCCACATACCGATCCCACAGTTTAGGATTGATGAGTGGTAGTACATCCTCTTCCAATTTTTGCATAACCATCTCTGCCATGAGTCCTGACACAGGTGATCCCATTGGTGCTCCTTTCAATTGCTCTTAAATCTTTCCATTGAATGAGAAGTAGGTCGACAGACACAAGTAGAGTAGTTTGCATACATTTTCGGTCGTCATTTTTCCGATTTGTTGTTCACTGTCGTTCAGCCGTTCTGTAATGACCGCTATCGACATCGATTCAACATAACAACCATTTCGACAGAAAGAAATAAAGAACATTTGGTCACGCGGTTTAGGGCAGATGAACTCGGGCGCTGACATCAATCTCGGGGAAAGTAGGTAGAGGTCAAGGGACGCAAATCGACTCTGTCACTTTCAAAAGTCACCTGCAGGTCGATCACGGATGGACGATTCATTCAGTAAGATTACACGCCGCATCTCACTGCCACCTCGCATGGTGGTGAAACGTTTGCGACAAACCGCCAAGCTCGGAGAACAAATGAACAATAGAATGGGAATTAACAGCTAGGTGCGAAAAACCGAATGCAGTAGCGTCACTGACTCCGCGGCTAAGTCATGTTCGACTGAGCCTCAACTCACTGGTATGCACCGTTCCAAGACCCCCATCCAGGAAGACGGCACGCACCAACCTGACTAAGTTTCCCAGTCAATTTTGTCATGCATTTATGCCATGTCATCGGCTGGCCACCTCTCAATGTTACCCAACTTGGTGCAGCGGGGGCATATAATGCACGTCGAGAAAGCAGGTCGGCAAACATATGGATAACGTGACCTAGCTAACGCAAGAGGTTAAGCATTAGCAAGCATTTGAGTAGGGCATCAGAGGGTTTCTTTCCAAAAATTAACTTGCTGATCCGGTGTTCCCACCAGCTGTGAGCAATACACCACAAGCGTGTAAGCTGCTCCGCGTGGCGTATTATAGTTTGAGGACGTTGCGAGTGTGGAACACTGATGTCTGAATGTGGACGTCAAATGATCTCTGTAATGTACGCACATGTTCGCTATACAACTTCATGTTCCCCTCCAAAGTAAGGTCGGAAGACACACTATAGTGATTGCATGAATAGCAGGGTCCTTAGGCAAAATATTACAATACTTACCTGATACGCCAAACACGAGTGCAACGACCATACGTTAGCTCTCGGAGAGGAGGAGCAAAATACTAAAAAAAAGAACTATTGCTCTGATGGCTGTCTGTATCTCTGTATGGTAGTTTGAGAACGACAAACATTCTCAGTGCAGTGCCCTAGTCTGGAGAATGCTCCCGTTCAACCTCTCTCATCGTATTTTAAGTGGTGAACAGGCTACTGTTTCTGGCATAAAGTGCGCATGTAGAAAGGGATCAGACACCTTTTTTGGATGACCACGTACGCACCGAGTATCCTCATTGAGTGTTTACGACCCTAACCGATAAGTTACCTCGTCCTTAGTTGTACCACACACTTGTTTAACAATCAAGGCATAACCACGTTGGGATCTGCAATTTTGATCGAGTCTTAAATTCAGCAAAGCACTCACCAACTCGCCGATGATGGTTATATTCTCACCGCGAATCATCAATATGCCTTGAGGCACATCAGCAAACTTGTTCTTCACGATAATGCGCTCGAAAGCTTTGTGAATCACAATGTTACCTAAATGGAAAACGTTAATATCAGCGTGGTTTCGTATAAATTACCGAACTGGTCGATAATCCTCAAGAATCCCATATAAATACGGCCTCCGCGTAAACAGATCATCATCTTCTCTATCTGTGGTCAGAAAATTCTGCTGTTATGCGCTCACTTCCGATATCTTGAAACAAGCTGGCTGAGCCTGGGTATGTTTGGTTCAGCATAGTTTTGACAGTAATGAGACGCCAAAGTAACAACAACGAGTTACCTGAGGATCCAAAAAACCACTGAGAAAGCAATCTGCAAATCGATGTGGTGGAGATTAGCTGCGCAGGAATGGAAATCACTTACCGAGCGAAAAAAACGCAAGTGCAACCGTATGAAGAAAACCAAGCAGACAGCGACTCCACGTATCAGTTAGGAGAAGAATCTTTGATGTAGAGGCGCATGCTCGAAATTCATAGTAGAACTCTTAGGTGTTGTGCTTAAAAGACGCTGGAGTAGCCGAAAGCAGGCACTCATTACTTAATGTCCAGTACAGCATCACCTTCAGCGAACGAACCGTATGATTACGTAAGCGCCAAGTACGTCGGCACAGTCAAACCGGTCATCAGACGACACTCGCTATGATTCAAAGCACCCTCAGATTTGACGCATGCAGTCTTTGAAACACGCACACAAGATAGCAACGTCCGGTCACACTTACTCACCAACTCCCATCTCCAACAGTGGCGAGTTGATGACGCACAATTTATGGCATGGAGTCGCTCTCAGCGGACACACAGACTGTTCTACTCCAGTGGAGAACAGCAAACACCCCGCGGTACGCAGCTTGAACAAGTGGACAACTTTGTTTATCTGGGAAGCTGTCCCTGTTGATGGTAGCATTGGAAACGAGACTTTCGTCCGCACTGCCAAAGCCCGTTCGGCATTCTTCAACTTGAGGCATCTGTGGCGACGCCACGACGTTTCACAATTGGTAGAGGGCAGGGTCTACAATGACTGTGTTCGCGCAGTGCTGCTGTGTGAGATTGAGTCCTGGCCGATTCGTGTGAATGACTTGCGTCGGATTTCGGCCTTTGACAATGGATGTCTCCAAATAACTCGAGTGTGGTGAATGTACTACGTAGGCAACGATGATGTTAGACGTCGCGTCTTGGGTAATACGGGACTTCCACTTGACAGATTGGTACCACTGCGTTAACTGATGTGGTTGAGCCATGTTTTACGCATGCCATGCGAACAGCTGCCCCGATGCGCTCTCTTCGCTCGCATAGGACCAGGCTGGAAGAAATCGCGAGGGGGCCATGTTACGTGTTCAACCAATGATCGCTCACTATGACCGTGAACCTGATTGGCCCTACACACACACGTAGATAAGCACGCACACACGCACTCAAGGACACCCTAACGTTCCGTGCTCACATGTAAACCGTTAAGTGTTCAGTACACTGTGCGCCAGACTGACGCGTCTTCTTGCTTATTCGCTACGAGTTGAAATACGTACTTGCGGTTAGAGTCCAGTTGTGATATCTGGCGACGAGGTCAACATGTCCATGACAAATACTCCACCGGTCTTCTGGTCGTGCTCTACCGACAAACCTTCCCTGGACTCGTGGCATAGATGGCGGAAAACCTTTACGGATTACTTGGAATTGCTTCCAATCTTGTATCCAGCAGTATCTCTTACTGAGAAAAACAAAGTGAAGCTCTTGAGACAGTTTCTTGGAGATGAGGGTCAAAGGTATTTCGATGCACTTCGTATTGATCAAATCTCTTCTACGATAACCGGCGCTTTGGAAACCTTCAGTGCTCTTTGGGGTGCTCGTCAGAATGTTTTTACGGCTAGATACTACTTCTTGAAACTCTGCCAGAAACCAGATGAGAGTGTGAACGAGTTCATCGCTCGTGTACTACAAGCAGCACCTGATTGTAAATACAATGAAGTCGATCCAACGAGATTTGAAGAGACCATGTTACTCCAATGTTTGATAGCCGGAATCTCAGACCAGAGCACGCGGGAGAAGCTCCTTTCACAAGATGATTGTTCACTGACCTGGGAGACGGCCTGCTCGATTGCCCGGCAGAGGGAACACCTTACACAACAACTCGCAACATTTACGCTGAAGGACTCGTCAGATGAGCTGCGATTGATTAACACTACACCAAAACCAAAGCCACCCACTGGCGTCAATTTGTTTGTGTGCTATCGTTGTGATGAGCAGCACAGTTGTCCATCCGACTGCCGGCATCAGAAGACAGTATGTCGAAGCTGCGGGAAGGTGGGCCACCTGGCGCGAGTGTGTAGATCGGTCAAGCGACGTTCAGGTGGGGCTTATCGAGGAGCAAACCCCATCAAAACTGTGGACGAGTCTGATGGTAGCGACCCTGAATTACATTCCATTTGGCTTAATTCCGTTTCTAGCATGCAGCCGGCGCCATACACTCTAGAGCTTTACATTGAAGGACAAAAGGTACAGATGGAAATCGATACAGGAGCATCCGTGACGATAATCCGGGAAAACGCTGTAAAAACGCTCCCGAACTTATCCGCTTCCAATTCTGTTCTTCGCACATACACCGGTGAACCTATACGTGTCCTTGGTAAATGCTTCGTGAAGGCACAGTATGGCGACAAAATACGCACACTTCCTGTATATGTGATCCCCGGGGATCGTCCAAATCTGCTTGGAAGAGACTGGATACGTGCTTTCCCGGATACAATGAATGTGGTAAAATTAGTCACCGAGATCTCCGGACTTGAAACATTACTTAAACAACATTCAGCTGTTTTTTTCCGAGGAGCTTGGGAAGTTGAAAGAATTTCAGGCTGCGATAAAACTAAAGGAAGGCGCTCGACCAAAATTCATTAAGGCGCGCACACTACCATATGCTATGAGGCCTAAAGTTGAAGAGGAACTAAACCGCCTACAGACTCAAGGTATTATTACTCCTGTACACTTTTCTGACTGGGGAACTCCAATTGTGCCAGTAACCAAACCGGATGGCTCCGTACGGATTTGTGGTGACTACAAGATAACCATAAATCAAGCATCCATGCTGGTCAGGTACCCCTTGCCACGTATTGATGACTTGTATGCAACACTAGCTGGTGGTGAAAAGTTTACCAAACTCGATCTGAGTCATGCATACTCGCAGATAGAGCTCGATGAACCTTCGAGGAAACTTACTACCATCACCACGCACATGGGACTATTTCAATATACTCGTTTACCTTTTGGCATTAATTCCGCCCCCGGAATATTTCAGAGAATTATTGACAATCTAGTGAAGGACATTCCTTTTGCGTGTGCTTATCTGGATGATATTCTTATCTCTGGACTCTCGGATACAGAGCATCTTCGAACACTCGCGGTCGTGCTCGAGCGTTTGGAGCGAAGTGGATTCAGATTGAAAAGGTCTAAATGTGAGTTCCTTTCACCTTCCGTTTGTTACCTTGGATACCGGCTTGATAAACACGGTTTACATGTTTTAAATGACAAGGTTAAACCTATTTTAGAAAGCCCAGAGCCAAAGAGTTGTGATGAACTCCGTTCGTTCTTAGGAATGCTATCTCACTATCGCCGTTTCCTGCCTAATGCACCGACGGTTCTATCGCCATTAAATGAGCTGTTACACAAAAATGCATCGTGGTGTTGGGGTTCCCGTCAAAAAATGCCTTCAATAAAGCAAAACAAGCTCTTGCTTCGCCACCAACGTTAGTCCATTATGACTCTAACAGGCCACTCATACTTCAGTGCGACGCGTCCCCTTGGGGGGTCGGGGCTGTTCTGTGCCACCGCATGGACGATGGTTCTTTACGTCCCATAGCATATGCATCGCGCACCTTACAGACGGCAGAGAAGAACTACTCACAACTGGACAGGGAAGCGCTAGCCGTCATCTTCGGAGTTAAGAGGTTTCACCAGTATTTATGGGGAAACATGTTCGAGCTTCATACAGACCACAAACCATTGATACCCTTGTTTGGGGAAACCAAAGGTATACAACAAATGGCATCACCGAGGATGCAAAGATGGGCTATAACGTTGAGTGCTTACAGTTACAAGATTGTTTATATTACCGGCGTCAGCAACTGCACAGCTGATGCACTCAGCCGTCTGCCGATCACGGAAACTGCACATGAACACGACCCTCCGTTTGAACTGGTTAACCTAATGCAACATCTAGACACAACACCGATACGGAGTTCAACAATCCGTCAATGGACGGATCGAGACCCCGTGCTATCAATGGTGAAACGCTTTTTGAACATGGGTTGGCCTCCTGAAGGGACAGTTGAAGTACAACCGTTTGTGATTCGGAAGAACGAACTGAGTCTATTCGACGGCTGTGTTTTTGGGGCTCTCGTCTAGTCCCTCCCACCAAGACGCGTTCACAGATACTTAAAGAGCTCCATGATGCTCATCCAGGTGTGGCGAGGATGAAGGCACTAGCGAGAGGGTACTGCTGGTGGCCCAACATCGACACAGACATAGAGAACTTACTGAAGAATTGCGATATTTGTCAGGCGTATCAGCGGAGCAAGGCGCCAGGTCCAATACACCCTTGGCGTTGGCCCGACAAGCCCTGGCAGCGTATCTACGCCGACTACTTCGGACCGATCGACGGGACCATGTTTCTTCTACTTATTGATGCACATTCTAAGCGGATTGACGTACATCCAGTTACTCAGGCGACAGCAGAATCCACCATCACTAAAATGCGCTCATCCTTCGCTACGTTTGGCATTCCGGAAACCATTTGTACAGACAATGGTCCGCCTTTTACCAGTGCCGAATTTGGTAAATTTGTCGCCAACAACGGAATCCAACAAGTTAAATCAGCCCCGTATCACCCAGCATCAAACGGATTAGCGGAGCGTGCAGTACAAACTGTGAAACAAGGCTTACTAAAGCAGCGAACAGGAACATTGCGAACAAAACTGGATCGGTTCCTATTCTCCTACCGTTCTACACCCACTGAGGCTACCGGGAAATCCCCGGCGGAATTGATGTTCGGCAGAAATCTGAGAACAAGGCTTCATTTGTTGTTCCCGAACCCGCGTGTTGAAGTACAGGAGCGTCAGAAAAAGTTTATGTCTTCAGAGGAGTCAAAGCCGGAAGTTACATTTCAGGAACATCAACCTGTTTACACCAGGTTACCGCATGAACAATGTTGGCAGCCGGCGACTGTGCTCGATTCTTCAGGAAGTCAAAACGATTTGCAGCTTCCGGACGGCCGGGTTGTTCGCCGGCACTCAGATCATGTTTTTTTTTTTTTTTTTTTTTTTTTTTTTTTTTTT